TCTTGGGCTCAAGAGATTCTCTTGTCTCATCCTCCCAAGTAGCTGGGACCGCAGGCACCTGCCACAATGCCCAGCTATTTTTAGAGACAAGGTCTCCCTCGTGCTCAGACTGGTCTTAAACCTGTGAGCTCAGGCAACCCACCCGCCTTGGCCACCCAAGTGCTGGGGATTACAGGTATGGCAATAGTTCTTTAAAAAAAAAAAGAAGAAATAGTAGCTCTAACAGCTTCAGTGTCCTCTATATGACAATTCCTAAAATAGCTATGAATTTCCTGTATATTCTCCTCAATCCATTTCCTACTGCAAAGAGACAAAAGACATAAAAAGTCCTGAGAAACAACTGACACTCTCCAGGAGCTCTGCTCTAGCTTTGCTCTCTATATAGACCAGTGTTTAGAGAATCCTAGGTGTGCCTCAAAAAAATTTTTAAGGCCATTACATTATTTTCACATTTTTGTGTGTGGACAAAACACAGTTAAGTATGTACTGTTTATTTTTTTACTTTTTTTTTTAAATCAACATAATTTTTTTGTTGTTAAAGAGACAGAGTCTCTGGCTCAGCACCTGTGGCTCAAGTGGCTAAGGCACCAGCCACATACACCTGAGCTGGCGGGTTCGAATCCAGCCCAGGCACGCCAAACAACAATGACGGCTGCAACCAAAAAATAGCCAGGTGTTGTGGCAGACACTTGTAGTCCCAGCTACTTGGGAGGCAGAGGCAGGAGAATTGCTTAAAGCCCAGGAGTTGGAGGTTGCTGTGAGCTGCGATGCCACAGCACTCTACCCAGGGCGACAGCTTGAGGCTCTGTCTCAAAAAAAAAAAAAAAAAAAAGAGATAAGAGTCTCACTTTATTGCCCTCAGTAGAGTGCTGTGCTATCACAGCTCACAGCAACCCTCCAACTCCTGGGCTTAGGTGATTCTCCTGCCTCAGCCTCCATAGTAGCTGGGACTACAGGTGCCAGCCACAACACCCGACTATTTTTCATTGCAGTGGCTGGGGCCGGGTTTGAACCCGCCACCCTTCGTAATATAGGGCTGGGGCCCTACCCACTGAGCCACAGGTGCTGCCCTAATCAACATAATTTAAATGTGCCATGGAAGTTTAACTAGAGGTTCAAGTGTGCCGTAAGATAAAAAAGGTTGAAAAACACTGACACAGACCAACTCTGCACATCCATGGGGAAGTCAATAGCAAAGTCATTTAATTTCCCAGACGGACATCAGTGATCATATTAAGAGACAAACAGACCTCTCTAATGCATTCAAAGTGACACAGGAGCACCTCCAGGGTGTAGCATGCCCATTTCCATCCCCAGTGGATCGTCAGTCATCTATACAAAAGGAAAAAGGCAGTAGATACCTAAGATTTAGTTCATTTACAGCAATGGTTCTCAGCCTCAACCCTCAACAATGGAATCACATGGAAGATTTTTAAAACCAATGCTCAGGCCAATTTCAACCCCCAATCAACTGCATTCTCATCTCAGGGATGAGATCAGATATCAGTAGCTTTTCAAAGTTCCCCAGGTGATTCCAATTTGCTATCAAGGCTGTGGACCACCAATTTGAAGCATATTCTTCAAACAGTAGATAATAAATAACCTATGAGAGGGAGTAATCAATTCAGTGGGCTTGGGCCTGCCATTTTTTTTGAGACAGAGTCTCACTCAGTGTTACCCTGGGGTAGAATGCCAAGTTGTCTTAGCTCACGGCAACCTCAAACTCTTAGGCTCAAGCAATCCTTTTGCCTCAGCATCCCAAGTACTTGGGAACACAACAGTGATTCTCAACCTTCCTAATGCTGCAGCCCTTTAAGCCCTTTAATACAGTTCCTGTGGGTCTCGATCCACCGGGTGAGAACTGCTGAACTACAAGCACCTGCCACAGTACCTGGCTATTTTTTAGAGATGGGGTTTCACTCTTGCTCTGGCTGTATTTTTTAATTTAAAACAAAGGAATGGAATAGACTACACTAGAGTTGAGTATCAGAAAGCACTGCTCCTAGTGCAGATAAATATTGCCTCATGGCCAGGCACACACCTATAATCCTAGCACTCTGGGAGGCCGAGGCTAGAGGATTTACGGAGCTAAGAAGTTTCAGACCAGTCTGGGCAAGACCCCATCTCTACCAAGAATAGAAAAACTAGCTAGGCATTATAGTGGGCTTCTGTAGTCCCAACTGAACTCAGGAAGCTGAGGCACGAGGATCACTTAAGCCCAAGAGTTCGAGGCTGCTGTGAGATAGGCAAATGTCATGCCACCCTACCCATGGCATAAAGCGAGACTGTCTCAAAAAAAAAAAAAAATTGCCACATGAAATTTTTCGGTTAAAAATATGTAACTCAGCAGAGCCCATAGCTCAGTGGGTAGGGTGCCTGCCACACACACCAATGTGGGTTCAAACCCAGCCCAGGCCAGCTAAAACAACAATCACAACCACAACAAAAAAATAGCCGGGCATTGTGGTGGGTGCCTTGTAGTCCCAGCTACTTGGGAAGTTGAGGCAAGAGAATCACTTAAGCCCAAGAGTTTGAGGTTGCTGTGAGCTGGGACACCACTGCACTCTACCAAGGGCAACATAGTGAGACTGTGTCTCAAAAAAAAAAAAATAAAAATAAAAAATGTAACTCTTGGCAATACTACACAAACTGATCTACAGACTCAGTGCAGTCACTATCAAAATCCCATCCACCTTTCAGGAAAAACCAACAAACCAATCTTACAATTCATATAGACATACAAAGGGCCCAGAATAGCCAAAACAATCTTAAAAAACAAAATTAAAAGACTCAGCTTTCCCAATTGCAAACTTAATATAAAAGCTAAAGTAATTAAAACGATGTGTATAAGGACATACATATATACTGGTATAGGGAAAGACATATCCGTATAGATGAATACAACTGAGAATCCAGAAATAAATATAATTTTCAACAGGAGTGTTATGACAATTCAGTAACAGTAACTGCAGTCTTTTCAAGAAATGGTGCTGAGACAACTGAAGTCTACATGTAAAAGAATAAAGTTGGACTCCTATTTCACAACATATATAAAAATTAACTCAAAATGGACCACAGACCCAAGTCTAAGAGCTAAATCTATAAAACTCTTAGAAGAAGCCAGGCACAGTGGCTGACGCCTGTAACCCCAGCACTTGGGAGGCCAAGGCAGGTAGAATGCCTGAGCTCACAGGTTCAAGACCAGCCTGAGCAAGTGCCAAACCCCATTTCTAAAAAATAGCTGAGCATTGTGGCAGGTGCCTATAGTCCCAGCAACTTGGAGGCTGAAGCAAGAGAATCACTTGAGCCCAAGAGAGTCTAGGGTTGAAGTGAGCTATGACACTATAGCACTCTATCGAGGGCACTCTACCAAGGGTAACAAAGTGAGACTGTCTCAAAAAAAAAAAAAAGCCAGGCACAATGCCTCACTCCTATAATCCTAGTACTCTAGGAGGCCAAGGCAGGTGGATAGCTTGAACTCACAAGTTGGAGACCAGTCTTAACAAAAAGAGAGACCCCATCTCCCCTAACAAATAGAAAAACTGAGGCAAGAGAATCACTTGAGCCCAAGAGTTGGAGGTTGCTGTCAGTTATGACACCAGATCACTCTACTCAGAGTAATAGCTTGAGACTCCGTCTCAAAAAAAAAAAAAAAAAAAAGACAACCCACAGAATAAAAGAAAATATTTGCAAATTGCATATTAGATGAGAGACATATTAGGAGAAAATATTAGGAACTTTTTTTTTTGAGACAGAGTCTGACTATGTCACCCTCAGTAGAGTACCTGAACGTCACAGCTCACAGCAACCTCCAACTCTTGGTTAAGCAATTCTCTTGCCTCAGCCTCCCAAGTAGCTGGGACTACAGGTACCAGCCACAACGCCCAGCTATTTTTTGTTGCAGTTGTCATTGCTGTTTAGCTGGCCTGGGTCGAGTTCAAACCCTCCAGCTTCAGTGTATGTGGCTGGTGCCATAACCACTATGCTATAGGCACCGAGCCAATATTAGGAACTTTTGTAACTGAACAGTAAAAAAAAAACCCAATTAAAATGGGCAAAAGAATGGAAATTGTTCCAAAGATGGCATACAAATGGTCAATAAGCATATGAAAAGGTGTTCAACATCATTAATCAACGGAGAAATACAAATCAAAACCCCTGCAAACCAGTCAGATAAGGTGGCAATCCTGGCACTTTGGGAGGCCTAGACAAGAGGATCACTTGAGGCCAGGAGTTCAGGACCAGCCCGGATAACTAGGGAGAACCCATTCCTAAAAAACAAAAATGAACCAGGTGTGATAGCATGTAAGCGCAGTCCCAGCTACGCAGGAGATTGAGGCAAGAGGAACTTCAACCCAGGAGTTCAAGGTTACGGTGAGCCAAGATTACGCCACTGCATTCCAGCCAGGGTAACAGAATAAGACACTGTTCTCCACAAACGAAAAGGTTATGTGGTGTGAAACTTGTTTGAGATACACACACAAACACACTAATGAGTTTATGCGCACGTATAGAGAAAGATGAAAAGTGGGTCAGTCAACACAAAAGGTCTGAAAAATATATTTTGGGAGCTGACAGATACCAATTCAAAAAATAAAACATTGAATGTGAGATCCTGGAGTCAAAAACAAATTGAAATAAAGCTGAAGTCACTTTGAAACATCATCCTAAGTATTGAACTAAGAGATCAAAAAAAGTAAACTTGACCCCACATCTACTTTGATGGATCAGGTCAAGTAATGATCAGAATTCCCTACCCCATCCATCTCATAGGGCTTCTGAGGCCCTGAGAAGGGCTGAGGAGCTTCCTACTCCCACTAAATCCCAGGCTCCTGCTGGTAGAACCTACAGCAGACCCCACTGGGAGCTGAGGAGGGAGGGTACACAGATGAGCTGCAGTATGGGCAGCCTGGAAATGCAGGGCTCAAACTCACACCGGTGCCAAAAAGCAGGTGCACAAAGGAGAAGCCCACCAGCAGCCAGGTGCTTTAGCTGGAGAAATGCTCATGTCAGCAGCACATACACTAAAACTGGATTGATACAGAGATTCTTAGCATGGCCCCTGCCCAAGGATGACAAGCAAATTCGTGATTTAGCTGAAGGAATGAGAGGAGAAAAGAGCAAAATAGTGCTCACATGATGAGTTTATCTTCATGGATGAAATAATAAAGGAAGAATAGTAAGAGCCCACGATAAAACTTCTCTGAGAGATTATCATTCTGACTCTGCGGGTCAGAATCTCTGACGCAAAAGACGCAAGCAGCTCAATAGATAGCCTTAGCCTGAGTTAAAAAATAGAAGCCTTTGGGGCAAAGCGGAGGAAAGATATATAACTCATGTAATTCCTTGTGGTAAGAAATTTGAGGTCATCTTCAAATCAGCAGGGAAATGAAACTTATTTAGAGAATTACCAGAATAGTAAGGACAGATTCTACCAAGAATATCTGTGAAGATGCCAGGGCCAATGTCATGGTAAGGAGCTCTGTTCATTTAAAAAACACTGTGGCTCAGTGCCTGTGGCTCAAGCAGCTAAGGTGTCAGCCAAATACACCTGAGGGGGTGGGTTCAAATAACAGTCCAGGCCCGCCAAACAACAATGAGGGCTGCAACCAAAAAAGAGCCGGGCGTTGTGGTGGGCGCCTGTAGTCCCAGCTACTTGGGAGGCAGAGGCAGGAGAATCACTTGAGCCCAGGTGTTGGAGGTTGCTGTAAGCTGTAATGCCACAGCACTCCACCCTGGGCGACAGTTTAAGGCTCTGTCTCAAAAAAAAAAAAAAAAACGATGAGATATGGTAATTAGAACACTCTTTACCATTAAAGATTATATACAATACTGCATTCCAATAAAAATTGAGAATAAAGGCTCGGCGCCTGTGGCTCAAGCGGCTAAGGCGCCAGCCACATACACCTAAGGTGGCAGGTTCGAATCCCCAGCCTGGGCTCGCCAAACAACGATGGCTGCAACCAAAAAATGACCGGGCATTGTGGCGGGTGCCTGTAGTCCCAGCTACTTGGGAGGCTGAGGCAGGAGACTCGCTTGAGCCCAGGA